TGCAGTGGCTTATGCCTATAATCCCAGCACTTTGGGAGGTCAAGGTGGGCGGATCACTTGAGGTCAAGAGATCGAGACCAGCCTGACCAACATGGTGAGATCCTGTCTCTACTAAAAATACAAAATCAAATAGCTGGGAATGGTGGTGCACACCTGTGATCCCAAGTACTATGGAGGCTGAGGCATGAGAATCACTTGAACCTGGGAGATGCAGGTTGCAGTAAGCAGAGATAGTGCCACTGCACTCCAGCCTGGGTGACAGAGTGAGACTCTGTCTCAAAAAATAATAATAATAATAATAATTGTAGGTGCAGTTTATTGGTATCCTTACTATAAATTAGGTTCTGGATTATTAAAAATTCTCGGCTGGGTGCAGTAGCTCACGCCTATAATCCCAGCATTTTGGGAGGCTGAGGCAGGCAGATCACCTGAGGTCGGGAGTTTGAGACCAGCCTGATCAACATGGAGAAACCCCGTCTCTACTAAAAATACAAAATTAGTTGGGCATGGTGGTGCACGCCTGCAATCCCAGCTACTCAGGAGGCTGAGGCAGGAGAATTGTTTGAACCCGGGAGGCAGAGGATGCGGTGAGCCAAGATCATGAGACTGCACTCCAGCCTGGGCAACAAGAGCAAAACTCCATCTCACACACACACACACACACACAAAAATTATCTCTCTCAGTTGCAACACATATATGTGCACAGATGTACACACATATGCACAAGCATATAGGATACTTTGCTGGACGTAGGCCTATGATCAGCAGCCCAACACCAAGATAAACAATAGTGTGAAAAAATATCCTAGGTCTCTGTTAATAATTGAAGCTAGTGCTACCATAATTTTACACCAAAAATGCCCTATCAAGAAAAAGAAAAGTCTGGGTACAGTGGCTCATGCCTGTAATTCCAGGACTTTGGGAGAGGCCAAGCAGGGGGGATTGCTTGAGCCCAGGAGTTCGAGATCAGCCTGGGCAACATAGTGAGACCTTGTTTCTACACAATAATTTTAATTAAAAAAAAATTAGCCAGGCATGGTGGCATGTGCCAGTAGTCCCAGCTACTCAGGAGGCTGAGGTGGGAGGATTGCTTGAGCCTAGGAGGTTGAGGCTGCAGTGAGCTGTGATCACGCCACAGCACTCCAGCCTGGGCAACAGAGTAAGACTGTGTCTCAAAAGAAAAGAAAAGAAAATACTTTGGGGAAATATATTCTATGCCCAAACAGCATCTTTTTATAACAGTCATTAAGGGAGTAAATGTACACAGGCAGTAGGCATGAACTATGGTCACAAAAAGCTCTGCAAGATAAAAGATCACCTTCAGCAGCTAAGCTATGGACCCTTTGCCTAGTCAGCGACTGGATCCAGCCTCATGGCTGGGCTGACATTGCAGCTTCAGAGTTACTCTAAGCTACTCATAACCTTGGCCCAAATTGTGGGTTCTCTGAGCAAGGACAGGGTGGTGAGCATAGCAAGAGGGCAGGATGCATGCATTGCAGGGTTTTTTGGAACAGGGATGAAATTAACCCAGTCGGAGCTGGCCTATCCAGTGGTTGCACCTGCAGGTCTAAGACAGGAGCTACAGAGGCAGCCATTTCCTGAAACTTGACAAGTGGGGAGCAAAAGAGAGTCTGTGACTCCTTGAGGATGAGAGCATCTCCTTCCTACTCCTCCCCTCTTGGAGGGTTTGTGCTGGACACTTGAGCAATTCCATCCCAGTAGGTGCAAGTGGAAGCAGTTGTAGCTGTACAATGTCTAGGTGGAAACTAGAGGATGGGGGATTACTATTTCTCCCACCCACTTTGCCTTGAGCTTGGCTGCCTCTGGGCCCTAGGGGAGCCTGTGCTCCACTATCAAATTACCCTACACTTCCACCCTCAGAGATCCATTTCAATTCACATGGCCTCCCTCCTAAAGCTTTACTAGTTAGTCCACGCAATCGCACTGGTTGCAAGGTTGCTTAGAGTGGGTCTGTCATTTTCTCTTCTCATCTCAACTTCAGTACAGGTCATATGGAGTTCTGGGAAGAATGCCAAGGCACTCTGATATGTTTGTGCTGAAATATTGTGGTAATCAAATATTATGTGAAATAAGTTGGCCATCAGCCAAAGATTGGAGCTCTTGTTAGTTAAACAGAGATTTGGCAGTGCTAATATTGGATGTGATAGTCTTTGCACTTGATGTCGATTACTATGACTTCTAGTTATTTTACATTTTTCTCCAAATAGCACCTAATGATAACCATTAGTTAGGCTTTCAGCATTTGAAGAATTAACAGCCTAGATCTGGACTCTAAGGCCCTCGATGTGTAATTCTGTGAAGCACATATTTTCTTTCTTTCTTTTTTAATGTACTGCTTTGTTCGCTAACGCCTCCAGGTATATTTCTCTCCCTGTGAACAAGGACATGCATAGTAGAAGTCACATCTTAAAAATAAGTTTGAATATAAATCTGTTGATTGAAACTGAAGCACATATTTTCAGCTGATAGGTTCCAAAGTTGATGTGGGCCAGGCACGGTGGCTCATGCCTATAATCCCAGCACTTTGGTAGGCCGAGGCAAGTGGATCCCTTGAGCTTAGGAGTTCGAGACCAGCCTGGGCAACACAGTGAGACCTCACCTCATCTCTACAAAAAAATGAGCCCGGTCACATGCCTGTAATCCTAGCTACTTTGGAGGCTGAGGTGGGAGGGATGCTTGAGCCTGGGAGGTTGAGGCTGCAGTGAGCCTCTGCACTACAGCCTGGGTGACACAAGGACACTTTGTCTCAAACAACAACAACAACAAAACCAAAGGTGTGTGGGAGTGAGCCATTTAGCTAGGGAGTGAGCCTAGCTTGTGGGAACAACTGCCCATCATCTGTTGTTCTCCACTTGTCCTTAAATGTGGAGCAACTCTCTTACAAAAAGTGACCGGAAAAAGAATGCTGGGGATAGAGGAAAAAAAAAAGATAAAGAGCCCAAGAAAATGAATGACCTTAGTGAGAAAACAGAATTTCTAGGCCAGGCGCAGTGGCTCATGCCTGTAATCCCAGAAGTTTGGGAGGCCAAGGCGGGCGGATCACTTGAGGTCATGAATTTGAGACCATCTTGGCCAACAGGGTGAAACTCAGTCTCTACTAAAAGTACAGAAATTAGCTGGGTGTAGTGGCATGCACCTGTAGTCCCAGCTACTCAGGAGGCTGAGGCAGGAGAATCACTTGAACCCAGGAGGTGGAGGTTGCAGTGAGTTGATATCGTGCCACTGCACTCCAGTCCAGGTGACAGTGCAAGACTCTGTCTCAAAAAAAAAAAAAAAAAAAAAAAAGGAAAGAGAAAAAAGAAAGAAAAAAACAGAAATTCTGAATACATTAAAGAGTAAAATAACCAATTTAGTAGTAGTTCAGATCTACTACATGAACAAGTTCCCTATACACTCTATACAAAAATAAACGGCAATTAGCAAAAGTGTTTGAGTGTTTCAGCCAGTACAAAAACCGACTTTATTCTGGTATTTATCTAATCATTAAGGTTCAGAAGGTCACTGAAAATATGCAGGTATGCTTTCCCATGCTACAGGGTGAAAATTATATGCTATGATCATGTTTGCAAATTTGGGATATTTAAGATCTAAGAAAAAAAATTTTTTTTTTTTTTTTTTTTGAGACAGAGTCTCACTCTGTTGCCCAGGATGGAGTGCAGTGATGCGATCTCGGCTCACTGCAAGCTCCGCCTCCCGGGTTCACGCCATTCTCCCACCTCAGCCTCCCAAGTAGCTGGGACTACAGGCGCCCGCCACCACGTCTGGCTAATTTTTTTTTTTTGTATTTTTAGTAGAGACGGGGTTTCACCATGTTAGCCAGGATGGTCTCGATTTCCTGACCTCGTGATCCTCCTGCCTCGGCCTCCCAAAGTGCTGGGATTACAGGCATGAGCCACCGTGCCCAGCCAAAGACATTCTTAAAGAAGGAACTGTTATCCCTCATATTTGTTTGATTGGTGTTCAGTGGTTTCCAAAGTGCTTTCATGTGCTCAAGAGATGTTGCTGGCAGCAGTTAAGAGAAGCAGGGGGAGGAACAAGGGGTCAACCAGGCCTGAGTCCTCATTATGGTGCCACTTCTTCTGTATTGCCTCAGTTAAGTCCCTTATCCTCCCCAAGACTGTGTCTCCACCTGTTTCATGAGGATACAAATGCTACTTGCTCTGCTCACTTCGCAGAGACCTGGTAATGTCCAAAGAGCTAATGTGAGAAAGTGAAAAGTATAATGAATGGTTCCTGTGGCATTCACTCATTCATTCATTTCACAGATATTACCGCACTCTGCTTGTGCTGTGATTAGCAGATAGAGGGGGCTAAGACCAGTTCCCACTGTTGAGATTAAATGTGTAGGTAGAAGCCAGGCACAGTGGCTCACACCTGTAATCCTAGCACTTTGGGAGGCCAAGATGGGTGGATTACTTGAGCTCAGGAGTTCGAGACCAGCCTGGGCAACATAGTGAGACCCCGTCTCAAAAAAAAAAAAGTCTAGGTAGAGAGACAGGTAAAGGGAATAAAAGAATGTTGCATACAGCTGTGTGGTGCCTGTATGAGCTCAAACTAAACCAAGCACAGCAAAACTACAGAGGAAACAGACCCAACCCACTGCCCACAGCTGGTGGGCAGGCGTTTTTCCTCAGCTATCCCCTCCCTCCCAGTTCTGCTCTGGCTCCTGTCTTCTGTAGTCAAAATGAACTCTGCAGCCGTCCTGAGCCAGCCAGCTCCCTTACAGAATTTCCACTGGGTCTCACATAGCTCAGTTTCCCCCCAAGATATGGCCCAATACTCTGGTCTGGCCAGGGGAAAAAAGTAATTACAGCCATCTGCTTACAAAAAACAGGCAGAGAGATAAAAGAAGAGGGGAGAGACACTCTCACAACTAAATCAGAATGACACACTATTTAACCTAATTACCTGCAAAGCCGTATCCAGCCATTAAGGATCCATATTCTGTAATAGAATTTCCTGCTATGGAAATACTCACCCACGCACAGGATGTTGAAGCAGAAGCCCTGGCTGACGGACTTATTCACCAGCTGGTCAGGCAAGCTGTCAAACCCCACATGTCCAGCCAGGGGGACAGTTCGGCAACCTTCACCCTAATTTGGAAGGAATGGGGGAGAAAATGAAAATGTGCTTAAAAGCAGTCTGAGTCTCACTTCTCCATCCAAATGTTCGCCGTGCAAGGAAGTCACACCCGCCCAGGTCCAGTGTGTCATCTCTTCCCTCAGCTACTCCCTGCTCCAAAGCAAAATGGCCCGTCAGCTTGGAAATCACAGATTCTTAGAGACAGGCATCCTCTAGGCTCAATAGTGAATGTCGCCACAGCTTCAGAGAAAATTACAGAGGAGCTTATTAGGGGTAGGAGAGTGGAGTCAGGGGAGGAGAATGCTGGCACCGGAGGTTCACTGACTCAGGTTAAATCTTCACTCAGTCATTTACAAGCTGAGTAACTTGCTGAGACTGTTTCCTTCCACATCTGCCATCTGAGATAATATGGCATATCTTAGAGGTGACTGGGAGCCTCAGAAGCGCTAATACATGTAACGAGCTTAGTACATGCAGAAGTGTTCAGTAAGTATTATGAAAAGGGTTTAAAAAGCAATTATTGGGCCGGGTGCGGTGGCTCACACCTGTAATCCCAGCACTTTGGGAGCCCGAGGCGGGTGGATCACTTGAGGTCAGGAGTCCGACACCAGCCTGGCCAACATGGCGAAACCCTCTCTCTACCAAAAAAACAAAAAGTAGCCGGGCATGGTGGCGGGTGCCTGTAATCCCAGCTACTTGGGAGGCTGAGGCAGGAGAATTGCTTGAACCCTGGAGGTGGAGGTTGCAGTGAGCTGAGATCATGCCATTGCACTCCAGCCTGGGCAACAAAAGCGAAACTCTGTCTCAAAAAAAAAAAAAAAAAAAAAATCAATTATTGACTGGCAAAATGTCTTACACCTGTAATCCCAACACTTTGGGAGGCCAAGGTGGGTGGATCACTTGAGGCGAAGAATTTGAGACCAGCCTGGGCAACACAGTGAGACAACGTCTCTACAAAAAATCAAAAACTAGCTGAGCGTGGTGGCATGTGCCTGTGTAGTCCCAGCTACTTGGGAGGCTGAGGTGGGAGGACTGCTTGTGTCCAGGAGGTAGAGGCTGCAGTGTGCTATGATGGCACCACTGCACTCCTGCCCAGGCGACAGAGCAAGATCTTGTCTTAAAAAAAAAAAAAAAAAAAGCAATTGTTCCTCTCTCTAGGACACTTTGAGGATCTACAAAGGCAGTGTAGTGTAGAGGTTAAGAGCAGAGGCTTTTTGAAATCTGGCAGGTGTGAGTTACAGCCCCATCTCCGCCACCTCCTGGCTGTGTCACCCTCAGACAAGTTATGTAAACTTCTCAAGTTTTCCCCATCCATAAAATTGGAAACTATTGAGTAGGAGTGTAAGGATTATACAGGATCACGCTCCTCAAGCCCTTAGCGCAGTGCCTAGCATGTGGTGGTGAGCATTCAATCAGCAGTAGCTGCTGCTGTTATTCACTGTGGGGTTATCGTTACACCCCCAGCCTAAAGGGTACTGCATGGAACACTGTGGCTCCCTATGGCTACAAGAAGCTGCCTCTGTGCTTCCTCTGGGTCCTTTGACTCCCTAAGGGTCAGCCAAGCCACTCCCAGCCCTGGAAAGCAGAGGGCCTTTGCTTTTCCTGCAAGACCCAAAGCTGCTTATAGCTAATGATTTTAAAAAACAGGAGGAGCCTCAAACTGGGACAGGATTTCAAGGAGCCAGGGGGAAGCATAAAAGGGGCCTGCATGGACTCAAGAAATGTGCCAACTACCAACCAACGGCCACAGGGGAGGGGAGGGGACAGGAGAGAAGGGAAGCTGGAGACAGCTAAGTTGACAAGAAGTGAGTACTATGTAAGGAGTTAGTTTCTGTTGGGTGGGGCTGCACCAAGCTTTCCATAACTAGAAAGATGCCAAGAGCAATCCAAGAAGGGCATGGTTAGTGCCAGGAGGCCCAGCCCAGAATCCCAGGCTGCACTAAGCAGACAGCTCTTCTGTTGGGCTGGACCAGTTTTTAGACTAGGTCCATAATAAGAGCACATTTTCACACTGAAAGGGGTGGGCTGTGAGGGTGGAGGAGCCTCTCAGCAGCCCACTTGGTCAGAACTGGCTCCCAGATAGCCCCTTCACACAGCTTTAGCTCTCACTCCCATCAGTGTCATTGGATCCTCTGAGGGCAAGCAACAGGGCTAGTGCCGGTGAATGCCATGTGGCAAGTTCATTACCCTCACACATCTCACCCCACACACTCCCAGTGGAGAACTCTTAACAGACAGCCCATACGCCATCATTCAGTGAGAGTGGGCATATTTTCTGCCCCAGGGGGCCCCCTGAAGACAGCTGAGGCTGGGTGCAGTGGTTCACACCTGCAATCGCAGCACTTTGGGAGGCCGAAGTGGGCGGCACTCTTGAGCCCAGGAGTTTGAGACCAGACCGAGCAACATGGCAAAACCCCACCTCAACCACAAGAAAAATACAAAAATGAGCCCGGCATGGTGGCGTCAGCCTGTGGTCTCAACTACTCAGCAGGCTGAGGTGGGAGGATCACCTGAGCCCAGGAGGTCGAGGCTGCAGTCAGCCATGATCTCACCATTGCACTCCAGCCTGGGTAACAGAGCAAGACCCTATCTTGGCCGGCGCGGTGGCTCACGCCTGTAATCCCACCACTTTGGGAGGCCGAGGCGGGCGGATCACGAGGTCAGGAGATGGAGACCATCCTGGTTAACACGGTGAAACTCCGTCTCTACTAAAAATTCCAAAAATTAGCCAGGAGCGGTGGCGGGCGCCTGTAGTCCCAGCTACTTGGGAGGCTGAGGCAGGAGAATGGCGGGAACCCGGGAGGCGGGGCTTGCAGTAAGCTGAGATCGCGCCACTGCACTCCAGCCTGGGCGACAGAGCGAGACTCCGTCTCAAAAAAATAAATAAATAAATAAAAATTTAAAAAAAGCTGAGCCTCATGAGTGGTTCACATCACTCAAGGCTTTGTTCTACATTCACCCCTTTCTGCTTCTTCTTCCCATTTCCCCTTCTCTTTATTAAAGCAAACAAAGTAAGATGCAAGATTCCCACTGCTAGTTCTTGGTCCCCAATGCTGCAGGGGAGTCAGGGACATGAGAACTAACACGCTTTCTTAACGGAGCCTCCAATGTAGCAGGCATCGGAAATTGAGGTGGACTCAGAGTTGAGGTTTCCTGAGCCAATTGTTATCATCCCTGGCTGCCTCTTCCGGCCTCCAACAAATTCAGCACCATGAAGCTTCAAGTGCTCCAAAGCCAAAAGCAGAGGAAATGAATTTTCAAACTGAAGACAGTGGAAGGTAGTGGAAAGAGCTTCACACCTTATTCCTAAAGATTTACTCCATTGCCAACAACTTACCAAACACCTCCCATGTCCCGCCATTATCTCCCACCTAGCACAGTGCTGTAAAGAGCCCTAAAAGGCAGAAGAAAGAATCTTCTTTTTTTTTTTTTTTTTTTGAGGAGTCTCTCCCTGTCGCCCAGGCTGGAGTGCAGTGGCGCGATCTCGGCTCACTGCAAGCCCTGCCTCCCAGGTTCAAGCGATTCTCCTGCCTCAGCCTCCCGAGTAGCTGGGTGCCCACCACCACATCTGGTTAATTTTTCGTATATTTTAGTAGAGACAGGGTTTCGCCATGTTGGCCAGGCTGGTCTTGAACTACTGACCTCAGGTGATCAACCTACCTTGGCCTACCAAAGCGCTGGAATTACAGGCGTGAGCCACCATGCCTGACCCAAAAGAAAGAATTTTCTAAGCCCTAAGAAGCAGTAGTATGGACTTCATTTCCTAAGCAATGGGATTTGGAGGATTTTGAGTGATTTGAGCAGGGAGGGCCATGATACAGGGAGTGTTTTTAAAAGACCACTCCAGCTGCAGGGTGTTTGCTTGATTGGACGGACAGAGAGACTAGGAGCAGGAAGACATAGGAGGAGATGACTCCAATAATGTTGAGCCAGCAGAGTGACATCCAGGCATTGTGACAATAAATGCTTGTTGGTGTGAACGGACCTGACTTGGGGCTCAAAGAGAAGGAACAAATTTGAGAGATGTCTTAAAGAAGGGATGAGCCTCTGCCGGGCGCGGTGGCTCACGCCTGTAATCCCAGCACTTTGGGAGGCTGAGGAGGGCAGATCACGAGGTCAGGAGTTCAAAACCAGCCTTGGCCAACATGGTGAAACCCCATCTCTACTAAAAATGCAAAAATTAGCCGGGCGTGGTGGCGGGAGCCTGTAATCCCAGCCACTCAGGAAGCTGAGGCAGGAAAATCCTCAAACCCAGGAGGCGGAGTTTGCAGTGAGCCGAGATTGTACCACTGCACTCCAGCCAGCCTGGGGGACAGAGAGAGACTCTGTCTCAAAAATAAATTAATTAATTAACTAAAAAAGAAGGAATGAACCTCAAGGAGTGATTGGACAAAGGGAGCAATCGCAAGGGTCTAAGCCCGGGAGCTCAGACTGACAGCACTATGGAGAGACACAGGAAAGCCAGGAAAAGATGCTTGTTTAGTGGGGATGACAAGGAGTCTGGTTTTAAATTAGCTGTTACTAAAAAAAATTACATTTATCAGATTTTTTATTTTGTGGAAGTAATCAATGTTCTCTGTAGAAATTTTAGAATATACAGATAATAATAAAGGAGAAAATAAAAATCAACCATAGTATCACTCTCCAGAGATAAACACTGTTAATTTTATTTATTTATTTTTTCAAGACGGAGTTTCACTCTTGTTGTCCAGGCTGGAGTGCAGTGGCACAATCTCGGCCCACAGGTTCAAGCGATTCTCCTGTCTCAGCCTCCAGAGTAGCTGGGACTACAGGCGTGCACCAGCACGCCCAGCTCATTTTTGTATTTTTAGTAGATATGCGGTTTCACCGTGTTGGCCAGGCTGGTCTTGAACTCCTGACCTCAAATGATCTAGTCACCTCAGGCTTCCAAAGTGCTGGGATTACAGGAGTGAGCCACCATGCCCAGCCACTGGTGACTCTTAGAATCCTTATTTCTTGGCCGGGCGCGGTGGCTCAAGCCTGTAATCCC